AGCCAGTTCACCAGCTGGCTCTTCAGAAAATGCCAGGGACCCAGCCACTGCGCTCCTCACGCCTTAACGCTGGGCCGCAACAGAGGAGAGACTTCAGGAGAGCAGGAGCAGAAGAAAAAAAGCATACTTAAACTTTGCGAAAGTCTCACTGGCAAAAGCTTTAGGACAGACTTCTAACGCATTACAAATATATCGACCGAAAGTTGGAGAGACTTCAGGAGAGCAGGAGCAGAAGAAAAAAAGCATACTTAAACTTTGCGAAAGTCTCACTGGCAAAAGCTTTAGGACAGACTTCTAACGCATTACAAATATATCGACCGAAAGTTAAATAAATTCTCAGCCATACAACCACTGATTACTTCTTCCTTTGCAAAACAGCCCTTACATTTCCAAATGAGGATTTGTGCAAGCATGTGTATAAAAAACTATGGCTATTAAGATTAGACACACTCTTTCAGTTCTAATTCAAAACAAAACCAGGATATTTAAATGTACACAGCTACTTTTACTATCTATAAAATGACCTTCCATTTGTGTGTTTGTTTTTGCAAGTGTCACTGATGATTACGCTGTATTGCGGTTGGCTACCACAGACGAGGGTCCAGCCGTCTCATCAACTGGCTTTTGCTGGCAGCGGCACTACCTGGAAATCATGGAGCTGGACTGAGACTGGCCGGAGGAAGTTGTAGCAGCGCTGAGCTGAGAAAATCCACTGTGACTTGATTCAAGGCTGCTCATGGATCCCCTGCAGAAAGACAGAGTCACAGTAAGGATAAGACACCTTCACAGGCTGAGCTGTACACAAAAATTGTACAGGGAGGGAATCCCTAAGGGAATTGGCAGTGCCTACTGATATCCTTTGCCAGATGATCAATGTGTGGTGCTGATCATGGAGTCTTTTTCATTAGTTTTAGCTCCTATAACGCCCCGGCCAACCTGAGGAACTCTGTGGAATGCACCAGGTGGAGAAGGGCTGGTTTACATAGTCAGTTAGCCAAGGAACCAGAACGAATCATTCACATATATGCCAGCTTTCTACCTTCCCAAAGCAGCTTCCAACTATTACAATAAAAAGTAAGCCTCAAAGATGTCAAAGCTATAATAATCCAAATAAAAAAAGAATAAAAGATGCTTTGAGTCCAAAAAGGTGCTAGGTTCCCATACATCTTTACAGCTAACACCACTTTAACAAGTCAACTATCCCACAATATCTTGTTTAAGGACATACAGTAAGAACATAGGTTTCTCTTTAGGGCTTGACTAAAGGCCTGCAATGATGGAGACTGATGGACCCTACCAGCAGCAAAGGAAGGGGTGCTTCCCAGCTTCCAGATCCAACTACTCATTCAATATATTAAGTAAAATTAGATAGAGGATCTCTCTAACAATGGATAAACATGTACTGTATGGAATCCAGAAAATTCCTTAAATTGATTCAGATTAAAAGTTATTAATCTGAGTCAGTTTAAGGAATCTTCTGGATTCTATGCACTAAAAAATGTTCACATATACAATTGCCACTTACAGTCAAAAACCAAATTGATTTGAAGAAAATGATTTCATTTCAAAGAGATAATACTACTGAAACAGAAGAATGCCAGCACCTACACTGACTAAAGTCCCTCTTATAGTGAGTAGCATTAAAAAAAAAATTGTCATAAATTCACTGACAAAAGTATTCGGCTTGCTGTTTCCTTCCTCTTCAAATAAATAAGCAAAAGTCACTATTATCTGATGCAACTTCTTAGTATAAGAAATAATTCTGGGACCATGAAGCCAATGCCTGATCTCTTTATCGTTAAAAAGACCAGTAAAGCTAAGCATTCCATGATTACTGTAGTTTTCGAGACCAGCACACGATCAAGTTTTCATGATAACAATTTGCCCCTTAACTCTGGCCTAAAAGACCATCTAACTCTTTTCCTCCCTCTGTTTCTGTTTATCAATCCAATGCTTGTTAATATTAGTCAAGTGTACTTATTGTTTAGACAGCAGTGTATATATTAGTAACCCCTAGAGATGACCATTTTTACTCCAGGACAAAAAGTCAAAATCATTTTCTGAATTCATATTAAGTGTTATTTTTTTGTGAAAACAGTCAAACAAGGCAAGAAAAGATTAAGGCTCTGTGAACTGGACACCAATATAGTATATGTATGTTTTGCTATGGACCCCAGCAAGTAATGTGAAGAACGGAGATAAGAAAACGCAGTAAAACAGGGGAACCATAAATATCAGCTGTAACTGCTTTTAACCAGAGGTGTTGCCTGAAATTCACAGGCATAGTACCTTTAAGCATCATTTTGATGACTCTCAAAATCTTTAGAAAAAGCAAGTCATGGAAATGGCAGAATTGCATGAGCTCTGCCTGCTGTTCCTGTATTGTTCTGGAGAAGTCCTTGACTACCTGTATCTAAGTTTAGCTAGCCATAAGAAATATTCTCATTTTTTTTAAAGAATGGCACTTGCAATATTACAGCTAATCTTACCTGAAATCTTCTGACCCAATTACTTCTGTGTAGTACATCACTTTGCACTTGTGAGATGAGACCTGTAGAGATGCCAGGACATCATCAACACGAGGCAGACTGGTGGTAGCACAGGCAGGCATGCTGTGGAACTTCCACTGGAGAATGTAGAAGCCAGGCCATCTAGTCACGTGGGATCCCTTTGAGCAAGAGCAGAGAAGATTAACAGTCTGAAAAGGCCACCGGTGCTGATAACCATCCATTTGGATGTAATGTAGTGCACTTCATCAACCAGCAGTTGTAGGACTCAACTGGCATAATGCTCCATTTCCTATGTGGCTGAATCTCCCTGTCATGCTCAGCCTACCTGATCAATTCAGAGAGGCTGGCTGGCTAGCAGACAAGAAAGAGTTCCATTAAACACAATTTGGTTTTCCTGAGTATGTGGTTGTGGACCATCATGGTCTTATCATAGCAGTATGGAAAATAAGGGTTAAATTGGCAAGTATAGCATACATAATAACTAGTACCAGATCTTGACTCGATGGTAAGCCTCAGTGTTTAGACCAGTGCATGTAGAATCACAAAGTTGGAATGGACCATGTAGCCCACCACCCTGCAGATGGAGCTATGCACAGTGTTGGACATATTAATTTGTTACTACTGTACCAATTCGTATATTACCCTTTTAAAATGCACAGATGTCATTTACAGAGATTCCCAAACTTGGAGATTTCCCCTTGTTGCAGCTACTTCCTAGAAGGATGCAAAATTTTAAGGAGGGATAGAAACCCAAGAGAGAAGGATTCTTACTTTGATCCCCAAAGTGATCAAAGAAGAGAAAGATTGAATGAAACATTGCCTGGAAGAGCTTCCTCACTGATGTACAATCAATCTGTGAAGTGCATGACTGATTAAAATATCACTCTCCCCTTGCCCTGAAGGAGCAGGTACCTTATTTTAAAGTGGGGTTGGTGATGTTGGTAATGTCAATGTTGAATTGGTGCCCCAGTTTACAGAACCTTGAAATGAATATAGGATCTGTAATTGGCTGAGTGTTATGGTGTGAAGCAGAAGGCAAAACAGGTTTAGTGGGAGAGGCCAAATTCAAACTATCTGAGAAAGATTTAAGATCCCTTCCCCTCCTATAGCCATACTGGCAACCCATTTTGGATGAGAAAACACATGAAGCCTTCACTCTCTAAAGACTTCATGCTGCTACAATGATAACTTGGGAGTTCTATTAGTCTAGCTAGTTACAGAAATCACAAAGAGGCAACACAAGAATTCTGTTGTGGTATTCAAAAATGATTGCATTAAAAAGCCCATTCTGGTAATCACATTTTGCTAGGAATCAAGGTACAGCTTGTGTTTAGAGATTTGTTCTCACCTGCACACTTTCCCCTTCCTTGCAGATGAGCGGTGACTCCACCATACTGTAGTCTCGCCCCAGTTGCCAAGCTTTGTCTATCAACTGTACATTATTGCCACCAGGAGAGGTAATACTATGTGCCCCTACTAAAGAGTCTTTTTTCGGAGGCTGAGGAGCTCTCTTGGAGTGATAGATGTTGAAAACAATATCACCTTTACAAACATCAAAATCCCAGGTGATCACAGAGGCAGCTTCCACAATCTGAATGAAAATCTGGAAAGAAAGGCAAGGGACTATATTTAAAACTCGAGTCATGGCAGGTATCTCTAGAGGTCAAGGCTCGACTGTCAGCCTTCCCTCACTAGGAATCCTGCACTGGGTCTCATTTTGGAGCATGCTATTTCTGTCAGTTACAGTACTACCTATCAGAAATCAGATTCAAGAGTTTATTAATTGGGTCTGTATCTAGCTGTAATGTCCATTAATGGTGTCACATGCTTAAAAACAGTACAATCTGTTATTATACAACCTTAATTTTCATTTTAGAAGATTGTTAAGACGTTAAAGTTGCAAATTAAAATCTGATGCCCCAAAGCCAGAAACATAGGGTGTTGTCAGGAAAGACTGATGGTTATTTAAGGAAAAATAATCAAGAATTAGAAACAGAGGCTAGGAAGCCTAGGAAAATACTGTGAGCCAAGCACTAGCAGAACTGTTAACAATGCTCAGATCACAGAAGGGGAGGCCAGAGGAGGATCTTCTCCCCTTTCGTAACCTTTTAATTACAGATTTTAGAATGCTGCATCATTCAGCTGAAACTGGGAAAGAAAGTCAAGGACTGGAGTTGTGGACTTCACACACTTCACTCAAGGTCTCTTTTCCTTAGAAATAAAGCATGACCATCACAAATCCATAGATAGGATTTTGAGGCCATTCAGATGACACTCAGGACAGTGTTCTTGCCCAAAATTGTCATGCAAGATTGAAGCACCAAATGGAATGTACAAAAAATTGCAAAAAAAAAAAAAAAAGGAATAGTTTTACGGTACGATTTTTCCTAACTATGGAAGCAGTATTTCAATTTTGAAATCAAAAGAGTGAGATGGTGTAATTTGAACCAGCTCTGAAAGTGAAGCTGGTTCCAAAAATCCTCCCCAAGTACCTGTTTGGTTATCTCTAGTATAGGCTGCCCAGCTAGATGGCAGGTCCTAAGGAAAGTTGAATCTAGTTAGTCCTCAGATAAGAGACTACCAGCAGATATCAAACTACAGGTGGGAAGTAAAAATTAAAAAAAAAAAAAAGACCCAGAAAATACCCATGGTAAACCACTTCCTTATTATTTCTAAGAAAACAACATGGATGTGTTCATGAGGTCACCAGGAGTTGAGCTTGACTTGAAGGAGATTACTTTTAGCAAACACTAGAGGCAAAGGGAAAAAATAAAATGATATACCTCATGGGGAGCTCCTTTGAAGACACTTGCAGACTGATATATAGTTTCTGTCCACAGTTTTATGTCTTCATTTTCCAGTTCTTCTGCTGTCCGGTACAAAGATTTGGGAACCAGCCCACCTTCTGGAACTTCACACTAAATAGATTTAATTAAAGGGTGGAGGGAAAAGAGTCAGCAGCATATCTGCTTCTGCTTCAATAGAAAACGTCTCAGGAAAAATACACTGGAGTCCATTTGAAAAAGTGAGAAGCTGTGAAAAGCTTAATGAGTAAAACGACTTTCTGTGACTGGAAATGACCCCATTTTCTCACTGCAGCTTATGCCTGTCCTCACAACGTACTTCTCAAGCAGATACCGATGGGACACAGACTGAGGGTTAATTGGTTTGAAACACTGGATTCTACTTGACTTCACTGTCAGACAAGCTAAATTCAGACACAAGCTCTTCAAGCAGTAAAAGAACTTCACCATCTGTTGTGTCATATACAAATGAATATATTGGCCTGATTTGAGTATATCATCAATGGGATATATTACAGCAGATTTTCTGAAGATGTTATCCAAATGACATGGCTGTGTCATCAGGCTTTGGGATCCTGTAGACGGGGGAAGCCTGCAAGATGGCTATATTGTCTGTGAGCTGTGGCTGGCACTCTCCTCCACTTTTACAGTTTTGATTTATGGTGTTTATTGTTTTTTAATTTTATTTACGCAAGTTTGGTTTTTGCTGTTTTAGCTAGTGGGCTGCCCAGAGTCGTGTAAGTGAGATGGGTGGCTACATAAATTTAAATAAACAAACAAACAAACAAATAAATGTTGCACAAGCAGAAATCTATTTGGACAACAAGACTTCTAATTTTCCTCCTCACCCCTGCAGATCTTGTACAAACCCCAAATCTTCTCTGGAGGGTCACTGGATCAGATTTTAAGGGACCACAAAGAGTTTTAGTGGGAAGAGAACACTGTCCTTTTCCAATTCTGTTAGCAGAAGCAGATGACTGGATTTCCCCATGTTGTTATTCAGAAAAATGCAGTCCAACCCTAAAACCTGGGATAAATCAACATAATTCTCGTGGAATATTTTTCTTATAATCCATCAAAACTGAAAGGATTAGAGATGAACTGCATTTGTTTCATGCACTGGCAGACAATAAGCAGTTTAAACCACTAACAAAAAGTATTTTCCAAAATCACCAGGAATGGATGGGATCTGTGACCTCATATTCTGGAAATCCCAGGAATAAAACTATGGGCTCTTGTGCTTTGCCTTTCACACACAATTTCAATCTTTTACAACAGTCTTGAAAAGCAGGGGAGCATTATTTTCATATTGTACAAAGAATGAGTATGTTTTATAAACAGCCATTTGCCCAAGATTGAGGGTCAGGTAAATTGGAGATTTCACTGCCATGTTTGTGGCTTCTAGTCATAAAAAGTTGAACCAAGTTAAAATTTAAAAGTAAAAAAAACAACAACTTTTCTTGCAGCACTGACTGTGAGGTTTCCAAAGTTGGGTGGACAACGTCACAGCACACTCTGTAGGTAGCCAGCCTGAAAGGGTCTCCCAGAGTAGCCAGCTCCAGGCTAGCCTGAAGCCTCTTCTAGAATGCAGCTTAGAGAGACAAGTGGCCTGGAAAAGCATCTTTCACACCACTCAACTGTCCCAACTGCTTGCCAACAGATGAGAGAGGCCAGCAGCCCAGAAAAGTTCTTGTTGTGCCACTTGCCCCTTCCTGATTCCTGGCACCTAGCTGAGAGAGGAAAGCATTACAAAAGAATGAATCTTCTCATGCTGCTTTCCTTATCCCAACTTCTGGATTAGTTGGGAGAGACTAGGCATGAAAGGATGAATCCTGCTGGAGGCACAGAAAGGCCAAAAGGCCTTTAAGGGTGGTGCTCTAGAAGAAGGCTGAGAGGAGCCTTCTCCTGCAGCATTGTCTGAAGTGCTCTGGGCTGATCAACTTCAACAAATGCTGTGGGACTGCCTCCAACATGTGCTGAAGGGGCCAAACCAGAGGCATGTATCAAAAGACTTTTAGGCTGGATGGCTTCAACAAAGCCTTTGGGAAAACCCAAAGCTGCGCAGCCTAGAACTACCTGACTTCACTTCAGTCCAAAGGGATTCAAAGCCACCCAAATTGCTTTGCTAAGTTGAACTGGATGGCCACTTCAGAGCAGCAGATTGTGCCATCTACATAACCCAAATGGCTTCTTTGAAATGAATCTAGACCCCTTTGCACAGGCCTAATAGACTGTGCACTGGATTAAACTAGCACAAAGAGGAAATTACTTTAGTTCATTGAGCTTGGTTGTAAAACAAACTGAAAACAATTCTCCTTTTTCTACCTACCATACATTCTCCACCAAGAAAATCAGGAATAATTTCTTTGTCAATGTAATCCAACAGCCCACCAGGACCCTGGTAATCATTGCCAGCATAAATCAGGAATTTCTTTCGAGTGTTGTCATCAATGAAAGGGCTAACCTATAAACAAAATACTAAATTAGTAACATTCCCAAAACATCAGATGAATTCAAAAGAAACACAATATTCCACATGGCCACACAGCTGTCTATGCTCTAGCTGGATTTCTACTTATGGCTCCAGAAGTGAAGCACGCTATAAATATCAAGCTTGTAAATCTTACTTATTTCAAAGTACAGATTGACTCCAATTTACAAAACACAAATTCCCAAACAGAGAACAAACTTAAGAACGTACCAGCGTCCAAAGGACCGGAAACACTCTGGGAGCTCGTAGAATTAGAAGACGTCCAAGTGTTTCTGGATAATTAGCTTCCACCACCTCAATGATTCTCAGCAAGGCCTTGACACCAGGTCTCCATAAGTGGCGCATGTTTAAGCCCTCCAGATCCACCAAGCAAGTCCAAGAGCTGGTTTTCCCAAAAATAAAACATAATCAACATGTTCAGCTTAAATCAATCAAGCAATTCTTTGATTGTGACAGTAAACAAATATACTATATTATATTAAATATATTTTAACTCCTCACCTAGTTAAATTCTAGTAGGTTGAAAAGTTTTAAATCACATCCATAATACCTGAAATATTTGCTAATTAAACACACACACACACACAGAATATAAATTTACCCTCCCCCTTTCAAATCCAGATAATCATAATTCTTCCAATAACCTTCTGACTCTTTCAACTTTTGTGTTAGTGGCATTGCTCACTCATGTAGAGCAAGCACTCACAACTTCATTGATCAACTTTTCTGGCCTTTCCTTGGCCTAGAATATTTTTATTTGTTTATATCCCACTTCGATGCCATCGTGGGTTTAACATACTGTATATGGAATTCCCAAATAGTCTTCTATCTATACAGGCTAAATATAATTAGCTGAGTTACACCAGATGGCAGCACTATCTATTTTCACACTACTACTGGGACTCCCATCACTTCCCAATCCCACCTGGACTTATTCGGATCTCCTCTTACCTCTTACTCTGAGGTATCTGACACTGTTGTTTAGTGACTAAACTTTAGCAGAGTGGGCGGTCTGAATCTTGCTATCAATAAGTCTGCCTGTGAGTGCCATATTACATAAATGACTATGCTAATGTGTTCCATTTCTTAATCTAGGACTTGGTCAAGGCACTGGACGGCAAAGCATTATCTTGATTAGCATAAGCATGTCTAAACTTCAATGGAACAGACTCATGGAATTTTAAGAATGTTTCTTTACCTTATAGGTCTCCCAAACACTTTTGTATTTTCCTCACACCTCCTCAGTCCTTCTTCATTTATAGACAGAACCTGCACATAATAAAAAAGATGAGAATGTTGCATTATGTTGTTGTAAAATGACCATGGATGAAATTTTGGCCACAGAGATACTTCTGGTTCAACTTTATTTGATTTTTATAAGGAATTTAAAAATAAAATGAAAGGCAATATTAGCTGTATATGTGAACTGTGGAATGAAAAATTGGAATATCCAGTTTTGAAGAATCAATAGGTCCAGATGTTAAAAAATGTGAAATTATACCTCTTATAATTTAAAAATGAAATTAATTCATCAGAATATATTATTTTACATTTATTGGCTCTCTCAAAGAATGCTTAAAAAGGAATTAACATTATTTATGTTGACAATGTAAGAAATGTGAAGGTTCATATGATTTGGTCTTGTCCATCTATAGCCTTGTCTGGATTTCAAATCACTACATATGTTAATACAATTTTGAGAAGAAATAATACAGCCAAAGATCTCAATGTAATGACCTATTTTCCCAAAATGTAGAACGTGTCATCTCATTGAGACTTTGACTGTTTTGAGGCTGGGTCATGGCAAAGAGGGTAATTTTATGAAACTGGAAAGACCCTCACTCTCTTACTTGCACTCAGAGGCAGTAAGGCTGCTCTGATATCTGAGGATTAACACCTCATTCTCCTATTCAAAAGTGAGCAATCTGTGGCCCTCTAGATGTTACTGTACTATGAAAGTTAGCAGCCCCAGTTTAGCTGGCCATTAGTAAGAGATGCAGTCAGTTATAGTTTAGCAATATCTCAAGAGCCAAAAGTTGCCTACGTTTATCCTTACACAAAAGCCAGAAAAAGCACACTGCTATTCTGAAAAAAATATATCAAAATGAACAGATTGTCAGTGACATTCCAGAGTGTTCCTTGCTGTAGTGCAGCCTTTGCCAACTAAGTGCCCTGCAGATATGTTGGACATGGTTACTAAGAGCAACCTAACTGAAGAACATCAAGTTACTCTAGCTGATACAGAATAATGAAGTGGGGATATAACATTCACTATTAAAACCATCTGCTAACTGCATCTGAAGCACTTACATAGCGAAGCAGGGCTTCTTCTCCAAGAGCTCGCACCAAACCTTTGGTATCCATCTGGCCTAGTCTCAACACATACAGTGGACGCCCATCTGGCCCAAAAGAATAATGACAGTGACATTCAAGTTATCTTCTGATGAACCAAGAAATGGTTACAAGGCCTTCTGTATTTTTCTCCAAAGAAAACTGGAATGATCAATACTTGCTTACTAACTAAGGTTTCCAATAAACGTTTTGGCTGCATAAATAAAGAAGATATAGGAACTAGTGGCTTGGAAACACCATTTTTCAATAATAATAATATTTTCCTGCTTGTTTAAAATTTCATTTTCTATGGCTGCCCACTCACATATAACTCGTCAACTTTATTGTATTATTCCAAATATCACAATCAGAAGAACCTACAGGAAAAAGGCTATTATGATAAACAGAAATAATGATTTCCACAAGGTGAACAGGAAGACTGCGAGTTAAGGACATGCTGAGAAGTTATGAATCAAAGTTACAAAGCACTAGTCCAACTCTAGTAACTCTACACAGTCATGTCATGACATCATGCCAAATGGGTATTTATTTTTATTAGAGTTTGACACCACCTGACTCCAAAATGATTTTGGGTGGCTTACCATTTTAAAAGTATACATAATACAAAAGAAAAACATGAATGCCCAGACAAAGCCACACAAATAATAACCTCCAAAATCACCAGGGGCTCCCTAACCCCAAGCCTGAGAACAGAAGGAGGTTTTCAGAGACTTATGGAAGGGTGGGAACCATATGTATCTCCAGGGGGATGATGTTCCAGAGAAGGCATGCTTCTTTGTTCCCAGAAGATGGCAACATTTAACTGAAGGAACCTGGAGCACACCCGCTCTGCCAGATCATAGCAGAAACTATTGGAAACAGGAAGTCCCTCAAATAACCATGGCCTATGCTCTGAAAGGCTTTATAAGTAATGACCAGCACCTTGAATTGCACCCAGAAGCCAACTGGCAACCAATGCAACTTGCAAAGCAGTGATTGCACATAGGCGTAACACGAGATGTCCATTACAGCCTATGCTGCTGCATTTTGGACCAGCTGTAGCTTCCAGATGGTCTTCAATGGCCTTCAAAGATACAACTTGATTGTATCTTTGGCAGGATTGATTGATCCTATGGCAGGATTTTGGCCAGCCACTGCTATATGCTGTGCTCACCAAATTCCTAAATTGTGCATGACTGAAAACCAAGCAGAAATCTGAAGTTGCAGATCGCTAATATTCTTTTAACCTTGTGTTCACCACTTAGAGTTGGCTGCAATTGAAATAGCTTACAAGCCACATAAACAAACAAACAAACAAACAAACAAACCCAAATCTTCTTGCTATTTCTAATGGGGTGTCTTCCACTATATCCAGATACCTATATCTTTATACCTTACCTTTTGCTCCAACAAAGTATCATAAAAACTTTGCAAGCAGTTTTAAGTACTTTAAACCACTCACATTCAGGCTCTCTTTAGCAAACCATACTGACTGACAGCCTTTCAACAGACCTAATACTTCCCCTTGTAAAAGGCCATCTGCATCTCTGCTACTATACCTTTGTCATGATGATGCCAACCACCTGCATAATAATCCTGGAGTACTTGAGGAGGGTTCCAGGTATCCAGGATGTAGTCCACTTGATGCTGTTTGCGCCACGTTAAAGACTGACACAGGATTTCTCTGGCCTTATCAATGTTGAAATCCCTGGCACGCAGGAATCTTAAGATGTGCTCATCTTTGGGAATCTATAAATGTGGTGATCACTGATTAAGAACTGTCAAAAGTATATAATACCCCATAAGTAAATTTCAAGGACTACAGTAGCTCCTTTCTGTGTCCAAACACCATCCCTTCCCCATAAGAAAGGCTGCCATTTCTTTCATTCATTCATTCCACAGAAAAATAGCACAATCAGGCAAGAAGTTTAAAAGAATATTTGGAGAACACTCAAGAGCTTTGATGAGAAATACAGTAAACAGAAGTAAACTGGGGCACTGCAGCTGTATACATCAACTCACCAAGTAAACACCAGAGAAGTAATTAAGGGCATTTTAAATTTATACAGTAATGGGAAGCTGATAGAACAAGTGCTTAGCTCAGGCTTCAGGAATAAACTCTTGAAATCAACAGAAAAAATGCTTTCTAGTGTTACACAATGTGATACTAAAAGTTCCCTGTCTTTTTTGCTGCTAATTACAACAAAAATTGTAAGCAACATGAATAGAATGAAATAGATAATTAAATAATTCACTCTTGAAATCAACAGAAAAAATGCTTTCTAGTGTTACACAATGTGATACTAAAAGTTCCCTGTCTTTTTTGCTGCTAATTACAACAAAAATTGTAAGCAACATGAATAGAATGAAATAGATAATTAAATATAATTATCAAATCAAAAGATTTATTACTGTCATTGACCGGCACAAAGGAATGTGGAAGTATAAGATTTACAGCTGTACCAAGATAAACAATCTAACATATCAGCTATGGAAAATGTAGCCAAAAATAAAAAATTCTGGCACAAAGTTAAGAACTCACTAAACACTTAAATCTACATAAAACCTATAAAATGGCATATAATTCAAATTAAGACTATGTATAATACAATATCATATAACAGTGATGGTTTAAACAATGCCTATATATTTTAGCAATAATACAGTAAAATTCTATCCTCCACTAAAATGTTTTGATAAAACATAGCAATGAAGACTGAAAAACTAAATAACTGGAGATAATAAATTATAATTTAAATATGGCTATATTTGTTTGGTCTAATTAGCCTTTTCTAGCAGTCAGTTCCTGATGCATTCTATGTCTGACATAAGCTAAAACATCCCCAGTGGCTTTCTTTCCCCATCTACCCTGATCAGGCACCATGCACTGCGGCCTTTGAATTTGCTCCTCCGCCATCCTCCAGCACCTTCCCCTCCCCACTTCCTCTTAGCGTCTGCCAAAAATCTTGTCTTATTCCTGCCCTACCCCCCCACCCCACCCCCAAAACAGAACACACGTTTCAGGTCCATGCCTGAATAAAATGCACATGTTTTGGTCTTGCAAAAAAACACTTGAAACTGATCCATACACAAAACAGTTCATGGACAGAATGTTTTGCGTATCCTTATTTTAGGCAGAAGCCAGAAATCCAAGAACAAAAAGATGACTTTCAGTAGAATGGAGAAGCTAGACAGGAAATATAAAAATGCAGTCCAGAAAATTTTCTACCATAGGAATAGAGGAACATAGAAACATCACGAGGAGGAGGGCTTGGAGGAGGGAGAATCACCCAATACAAGTTCAAACAAATTTAGGAATTTGGATTCTGCACTATGGGAAAGTAAAGATTAGACTTTTCTAATCTAGAAGTAAATAAAGTTCAAGCTAGTTTGTGTTTCTTCCTTTGGACACTGACGTTCTGCCAGACATTCTTGCACATCATGCACTTTTCTGATGGACAGGAAGCCAAAGAGACAGACATCCTCTTACTTTGCCTTTGTGTGTTTCCTGGAGCCACTGCCGAAGCCTGATGAGGCAGCTTTCCTGAAGTGGTGTCAAGTCGCCCAGATACCTCTTGATATAATCCGCATCTAGCTTGTCTGAAAATGTTAAGTATGTTGTTAGAGGTCAATAGAATTGTTTTCTTTGTGCGTACCTCCAGTGGAAGCCCCCATTTGCAGAGCAAACTGAAACGTTCAATTATTTACTATATATATGTCAGCCACTAGTAGTTTTGATAGATATTTTCATCAGTTCTAATCCTTGTAACCTCAACACTGCTAGTTGCCTTCACCCAATTAATACAAATTATGTATCTACTTGATATTCTTGAAAAAGAGATAAAATTGTACAACTGCTAGCCTGCATTTTTTTCTGAATAAATTAATTAACTTGATTCTTTGCTTGTATTCTGAAAGGCCAGCTGAGATTACGATGGATTCACAAAACAGTTATAAAAGAGGACAGGCCAGACAAACTACACACCATCAGGGGTTCCAGCTGCCAGTTCTGATGCATTGTTGCATGTGTTGATTTCCTTGGAGTTCAGTCCCTCTTTAATGGCAGTTTCAGGTATGTTGATTGGAGGGGACAGTGACCGTCTTAAGTGAGCTGTGCCACGTTCAAATGCAAATTTAGCAGGGGGAGTCCAACGAGGAATAAATGTTATACCTTCTTCTTCTAGCTGCTTCAAGTAGTACTCTATTATCTCTTTGCCCTTTCAAAAACAAGACAGTTCTTACATCAATGCATTGTAAGTGCACGTGGCTGGGGTGGGGGAGGGACCACGTAATTAGTTCCTGATTAAAGAAAACTAAGTCTGCTGGAATAGGCAGAAACCTAGTATTATCTCAGATACTTTAGTTCAGTATTACAAATCCTGAAGTAGAGACCTAAGAAGAGAAGAACAAATATATTTCCATGGCTTTCAGCACAAAAGAGAGAGAAGTGAAAAAGAAGCCTTCCGCATCTCTTTGTTCAAGCACAGGCATAACTGCCTTTGAGGCATGAGGGTTATTCCAAGTCATGACATAAGTAACTTCATTCCTTCTAAATATAAACTGTAATGTAGACCATCCTTACTGGCTTAGCACTTAAGGGCCAGCTTCTTCTAAACTGGTATATTCTTCAGCAGAGCATGTATTGCTGTCTTCAGTCATTCCTGCTATTGGACACTTATCTCTGACAAGACCAAAAGACAGGAACTGATGATGACTTCAATATATGCTACTGTGGGATGACCAGAGCTTACCATACTCAGGTGCCCCTACTGCCAATATAATATAGTAGACCGTACCTCTAATAGAAGATGAGAGCAAACACAGAGTATGAAGTCATACAAGGCCAACAAGAACATTCTTAAAAGAACTGAAAACTGTTGAGGACGGAGCAAAATTATTTAGATATAAAACTTAAAAGATCACCTTTTTAATATTGCTGGTGTATTGCTTCATGGCAATCTTTTCTACTGTGCTTTCAAAGCCAAAGAAAGATTTAATATCAAGACTTGCAGATTGCTCAAAACATGTCCAGTCTTCATTGTCTGGGTGCACCTGGAGGATTGAGAAACAAAAGTGGGCACACGGTGTAAGAAAACCCTAATCCAGTATCACAAGGACCTCATTTCTTAAGTATTGGATAATGCATTTTCCTTTTCTTTATTTACAACATTGTGTTCTCACCAACAGAATAGGATGCCCAATATGCAGTAACATTTGTGCAGCTACAAAGTATTGTACTGAACATGAACATGTTGTTTGAAAAAGAATATGCTCTTAAGTCTAAAAGAATTATGGAGTCTAACTTCAAATGTATTCTTTTACAGTCCTTATGCTTTTTAGTGTCATTTAACTCTATGAATAGTAGCTGGTAGTTCCTTGCATTTCTGCAGTTATACCTGAGGACACATAATCTCACCTATTTGCTAATTTTTCAACACTCTCATCAGGATTATAGTCAGTATTACTTTTTCTGGCTTATTCTAAAGAATCTCAACAAAAGGTGCCCAATAACTTCTTACAGGAATTAATCACTGTGTATCATTTAAGTAAAAATGTTTCTAACTTGATTGTATCAGGGTCTACATAAGTTCGTCTAATTCTTCATAAAATAAGTCTGCAAGTTGAAATTTACCACATTTCACTTTTCGGCAATGAAATGTTAGTGCTTTGCTAAACTGTTTGCCTAATAATCACATTTTAAAGCCAATTTTTCTCTATATTTTATGCTCTATTCCTTGAAACCAGCTATAGGAATACTCTACATTTTAGATTACCAGCCAGAATTAAATTGGCTTTTTCCAAGATGCAATTCACTTCTTCATTTCTTCCTTCACAGGGAAAAAGTAAGGTGTTTCCAGCTTGGATCTTAGTTTTTATCATAAGCAAATAGAGTCACAATTACTGCTGAAATGCTGCCATCTCACAGGAAAGGACTGTCTAAAGTCCCTTATCTCCAAAGAGATGGATTTACCAGCACTTAAAGTCTTCAATCCTGATGACTAATCCAGTTTTTTTTTTTTTTTTAATATCCAAACAATGAGTACAGGCCTAGATTATCTGACTATTTTAGCCTGGTATTTAGATTCTCCTGAATCCATATATTGATGCATTAAATGGGATCCCAGAATTTCAGTCTTAGGATGATCTAAAGCAGTGTTTCTCAACCTTTGGGCTGAAGAAATTGTGTATTACTGTGAACCTCCATAACTATCCTTTCTGCAAAAGTGACTTCCCTTTTAGGTTAAACTAGGATTGTATGAAGAGAGAAATTCAAGTAGAAGTGACAGATTTTTAAACGTAGAATTACTTTGCTCATTAGCAGAGTCTGATCATGAGCCAATAATTTCTCTGAATGGGATAAAATCTAGGAATATCTACAAGGCAAGTGACAAATCTGCATTATTTCAAGTCTTGGGAATTAGATTTTCCTCAGATCAGAATTGCCAATAAAAATGACAACTCCTCAGTATCATAGAGCAATTTATATCACAATTTGTCTTAAAGTGATCCAAGGAAAACCATGGATACTTGAAAGCTAAATGAACATTAATACAGGAATGTGTACTCTATGTAATTTAATTGCCAACTTAAATCAGTATGAGAATTCTGGGTTCTGACTGCTAATACATACCAGTTTTAATGTATTCCATACATTTCTAGCATATGAGCACAGACATTTATGACAAGATTGTTTTATTTTTTTGCACTGTACTTCTGTCCAAAGCAAGAAAATTGTGCCCCATGAGTTAAACTGCTGGAGATTGACAGGAATTCTATTGTGCAACAAATAATTACTTTCTACTATTTTCCATCTGTTCTCTGGACATGATGCCAGACAGTCATGTTAACTTCAAAGACCTATAGCTTTAGGGACTACCTATTTCAGCATGAATCTTTTTGGAGAAAACAGATGCAGGGGAGGGCTTCTTAAAAATGTCTCCAATTTCAGAGGTTTGCCTGTTGGGTACATTCTTCTGCATTGTTCCCAAGCTCCCTTCAAGCGCTGTGCTTAGTTCTCATCACTCTGCTTTTAGAAAAGTAATCAAGAAATTCTCTTTAACCAAGTCTTTAGAGCTGGATCAATAATAATGTTATCTGGGTTAACCATGCTTTTAATTGTTTTATATTTTGTGTCTTTGGCAGCCTAGATAGGAAAAGCAGAACCATAAGTAATTGAAACCATAAAAACTATAACAAAGAATGCCTTAACTAGAAAGGACCAGAGACAAACCTTCTTAGAAAGACCATAATATAAAATTCAAGCCTACCCTTACTCACCGTATAAGAGCATTTTTCATTAATGACAACTCTGTTTGAGAAAGTTTCGTTGTGGGCCTCTATGTGTAAAGTGCGATCTCTTCTATTCAAGGAGTTCTTTTGGATAAAGTAAACATAATCTACCCCTGCAATCTGAGAAGGAGAACAGAGATGAATTTAAGAAGCAGCCTTACAGATGGCTATTTGGACATCTAACTTGACTCAATGTTACCTTTTTCAGGAGCCGTGGGGCATCTACATCCAGTTTACAGCGTCTTTCAATCACGTGAATTGCTCTGTCATCACTCTTGAACTCATTCACAGTATCACTGCCTACAAACATAGGGATGAGAGGGCAAGTGGGAAACCTTCTTTCATATGCCTGTAAGAAAAGAAGAATATACATCAACCTCTGCTACAAGACTCTCTAGGCAGCATTTCACATGCTTGTTAAACTGATCACAGATGTCCTCTTCATTTCAGTAAATGAGTAAATCCTATTAAATAGCTTGCGTATCTTACATATCTATCAAGAGCTGTGTGAGGCACTGGAGGAAAATCTTTGCACAATTATCTAGTTTTCCCAAGTACTTCCTTTGAGACTAATAAAGACATCTAAAGTTTGTTCATTCCATACTGGTTGTCCCCAAGCATAACAATACAAATTCATCTCAGAATTGGAGCATCCATTTTCCAGCTTGTATTCATGCCTAAGTACATACAGGTAGTCCTCAACTTACGACAGCAATTGGGACCAGAATTTCTGCTGCTAAGGGATGCAGTTGTAAAGCTAGTGATAACAATCCCTACTGTGCCAGTTGCTATTGTTAACCAAATCCCACTGTTAGGCAAGGCAACTTCCTACCAGCTTCCCAAAACCAAAGTCAGTGGGAAAGCCAGCAAGTCCCAGGACAGCAGGCAGGTTTAAGGTGCATGAGGGTGCCTGAGGGATGAGGCATGGGGCGGGTTGGGTGCAATGCGGGTCAGAGAGGGTGCGGCAAGGCTCAGGGAGGGTGCACAGGGTCTACAAGTGGAGAGGACTGGGGGAGGGTGTGTGGGTGAGGGAGGCTTACCCCAGTGACTTGCGACCTTCCTTACTGGCTTCCCCACTGACTTTCTGGGGAAGCCGGCAGGGAAGGTTGCAAATGGCTATCACGTGAGTGCATAAGTGCAAACTGGTTGCTAAGTGCCAAGATTGTGTTCACATGACCATGGAGGTGCTGGGATGATCGGAACTCCAAGGACTGGTCATAACCACCATTAGTTCAGTGCCATCGTGACTTCCAATGGTCACTAATGGTGGTTATGACCAGTCCTTGGAGTTCCAGTCATCCCAGCACCTCCATGGTCATGTGAACACAATCTTCAGTTTTTCATTTCATTATGCACTTTCATTAGCTCTAAAATTTTGTTCCTTTTTCTGTTTTGATCTGAGCTTTTAACTGGTTATCTGCATCAATGATTCACTAGTCATTTTCTAGTTTTTGTTAGTTTCACATCTGTAAATTTTCCCCTACTTATTTCATGTCTATAACTTGTTTTACTTCTCTGACAACTTTTGAATCCTGTGCTTGTTCCTACCAATTCTGTTTCTCTTTTTCCTTTCAATGATTTTCACTCTTTTTCTCAGTTTTTCACTAATGGATTATGATTAGAATCTATATTAGGTGCTGTGTATATTTTTGCCCCAATATCACTAAATCTTGTATTAATAAGAATGCAATCTATTTTATTTCTGACTGTATGTTCTTGGCAAATATCCAAGTGTATTATCTCCTACATGGTAATGTATAGAAAGTATTGATAACTACATATTGTTGTTTTTCACAGAACTTGCCCCAGATGTTCACCACATTCATTTCTAATATCTAATCCAAGTTCTTCTATCAGATCGTCATATTTATCTATTCCCACACTTCTGCATTGAAGTCACCCATTAAGATGATTTGTTTGTGTATGTGTTGTGTGCATTTAACGGTAGCATGCTTTTAACTTCTTAGCATTTCTTTATTATATCCTCATTTTTATTTGCTATAAGGGCATACATCTGGGTGTTAACATTGACATGGTGTGCTGCTAATTGTAACACCATGATACAATCCAATTTCAGTATAAACTTTAAAATACTCCAGCATAATACATATTACTATTTCCAGAAAAAATATTTTTCAATTTATTGTACTAAGTTGCCCAGATACTTCCCAACACATTTCACTTATTCCTAGGATATCAATTTGTAATCTCGCCATCTCTCTGGTGGCATTCATGAGCTTTTCTATTTTGTATAAAATTGTATCATTCCAGGTTGCGGTGTTCTGGCAAAACTTCACATCTCCTGACTACCTAAGGTCTGCCAGGTACTCAAGTTTTTTTATTGCCTTCTGCAGATATTGCTCCACTATATAAAAATTATCAAGCAGAAAGTACCAATGCTCCTCTCTTCTCACAGAAAGCTGGACATTAGTTTTTTTTTTAAAAGTTCCTTCCTCTTTAGCCTCTAAACATGCTAGTTTCAATGTGAAGGAACATATTCCTTTACCTTGGACATAGATTTAACACCTAAGTTATAAACATGAATTCTAAGAATTCATTTAGGCACAATAGTGAATCAAACTGTGGAAACCCACCTCTAATGCTAAAGATTAGAAACATATTTCGAAGCTGGGATATATAAATAGTAATACATTTGTAGTTTTAGAATTCAGAAATACATCTGAAGTAGCCACTTTTGCTAATGGCTTAGAAATCATAGGAGAACTGAGAAGTAAATTCACAAATCATCTGACCTATGAAAGAAGTTCCAGCTCCCTAGCCTTTCTGCTTACTGCCTCTCAGCTATTATCAGAACTAAAAACCTTGAAAATCCCCCCCCCAAAAAACCCCACACATTGCACACAAATGCAAAAATTCATACCAAATTCAGAATCTGTTTCACACTTAACTGTTGGTAGATGAAAAAGGGTAACCATACATAACAGCTAGAGCCTCTTTGGCTGAAATTATAACAGTTGTCGTATGTAGCACCCATGCTTGAAGGAGGTAGTTTGCTCAATACCAAAGACTGCATGTAGGTCTATTATATGTAGGTCTAACCTGCATTATTATTAAACCTTTAAAAATGGAGTGTGTTAATATGCTGTGCAACTAGCCAATTTTATAATGCTTTCATGAAGATGACTAGGCAGGTACTTCTAATTTAACTTTAAAATGTTCAGCACATGTATGTCTTCAACAGAGCTGTGTGAGGCCAGCTGCGGTGGCATTTCATTTTCCAAGAGCAGTTTTTGGCATGGTGTGTATGACAAAATCTGGCATCAGCTGCAACTGAACAAGGCCTTCAGATATTATTTCCCAGCTTAAAATTTTAACTTGAACCATAAATATACAGTTGCTTAGCAACCACAAGATTTGCAATTAGCTACTTTTTCAACCAGAATTTAACCCTATCAAACTGTTTCCTGCTTGCATCATTTTATGACACATTTGCATTAATTTTAAAGATTTTATATAAGATTCTAGTGATATCACCAAAGTGTGCCTGAATGAATTACCCTAAGTGTGCTAAAAGGGTAAAGCAGGTAGATTGTTTAAATGGCATTCTTGTGTTTCCTTATCTTAAGACAAGAGTGAGCAACCTGTGGCCAAATGCAGCCCCCTTGCTTAATATTGGCAGTAAAATGATTAAATTGAAACCATTATGTTTTTTTTGTGTTTTTTCTACGTTTTTGCCTTCAAAGTTAAAGGCAGGAAAGGGATCAAGAAGCCTCTTGGAGACCTTCCATTTTTATTCCACCCTTTAACTCCCCATCCCTGCCAAACAACCCAAAATGTCCTTTTTATTATTATTATTTTTTGAGCGGGGAGCTGATTTCAATCTGTTTTGGGGGAGGAACTTAAGGGAATGGGATCAGAAGACATCATGGAGGCAAACTGTTCTTGTTGCTTTTCTTAACACTCCCGCCCAACCACCCCCAGGAAAATGATTTTGAAAGAATTAAAAGTACTCTGAGAAAGAGTAATACTAGGCCATTTAGAGGGGAATTTAATCCCATGCCTATTCCACCCTTAACCCACAAACAAATCTTCCTGATCCTTTCCAATGACATCACCACATCAGCAAACCATTTCCTAGGTCCTCAGGAAGGTTGGGGGATTAAATTGTGACCCTCTAAAAATCACCTGCCCCTACCTTAGAATGTCAAATCATCTTGCAAACCCCAGATTTAAGGATGACAACTTTGAACTAAGGAGTCACTACAGGTCTCTGGTGCTAGAACACTGACTCTGAGTTTGAGAGTTCAAAGTTACATACATTTTTATAATCTCTTAATAGTTTTCCCATGCACTACAAAGGTCATTGGGTCAGAGAAAGCTACATGGAGTGATAAATACACTTTGGATGTCACCTGGGACAAGGCAAGTAAATTGACAGTTTGGAGAATGAAGGAAAGTTCATTTGTCCTAAGGGCACAGACAACTGCATACTGTCAACTCTGCCATATTCTATACTGTGTGTTCATTTTATACAATTTGTTGTTGTGATGGAAGGCATGAGCAGGGAGGATTCTGGGAGGAAGCTTCAAGGTTACAGAGGGGGGGAAGTGACATTCCAAGCATCTCCTCAGCCCACAGCTGGACTCTGTGAAAGTCAAGAGAAAGAGTCTGGCCCCTCCCTAAGGGCTTGATGGTTATCGTTGCTCTCGTTGGGGAATTAGAGTTAGTCTTGCAAGATTCTGTCTGTTAGGTGCAAGCTAATAAAGAAGCAGAGCTGATTTCCAGACTGTCTCGTGTGATTCTTGGGCTGAACCTGACAGTTGCCATATTAACATAAAAACAAACAAACAAACAAACAAACAAACAGGAGGACTCCTGTTTTCCTAGACTTAATTAAAAAGCCAACCATTAGCACATCCGCAAACTAGAGAGCAGCTGCTGCAGTATGGCCTATCCCAGTTAAATTCTGATAACCCACTGACTGCAGTATTTCAGAAGAATGTGTGCAACCTGGAGAAATTCAGCTTTCACAATCTGGTATTTGTTTCCACACATCTATGGTTATTTACAAGGCCCTTATCGCTGCTGGAAAAGCTGTGACCTTTTGTTCTTCTGTTATGTATTTCTTGCCTAGCTAGGGGCAACTCACTAAACTGGAATGAGATTATCCATCACACAGCCACAGCATCCCAAACAGTGTGCTAACAACCAAAGCAGGGCTAATGTCAGCATGAGAGGAGTGTTTCAAAGACCCTTTTTATAAGCTTCATGCTATATTGGGAAATTTTAAGGGGATCAGTAAGATGGTGTTAATGGGGCTCTATTCCTTTATGCTGATGCTATAGCTTTCTAAAAATAATACAGGATATGAAAGCCACCTGCTCCCTC